AATAACAAATCTTACTGAACCCAACTTTTGAAGTGTATCAGTGAAATCACAGCTAAAATTAGTGAAAAATAACAAAATGATGATGAATATAAACAACAACGTGCACCAAATATTCAGCACTGAACCAAATTTTAGAATTGGTCATTGCAAAACCCATATTGATCTATGTTGGCTACAGTCCAAAATATACATATCCAGTTGAGCAGAAACAAACTAAATGACATCAAATCCATAGAATCTCATAAAACCATCTAAAGAGAGGAAATGAACTATATATGCAAGCATAAGTGATAAATATATGGTTTATTGATTTTTCATTCCAGTTTTTTTATTATTATTTATGGGCTTTTAGCCTTTTAATTTATAGAAAAGTGTATAGAGAGACAAGGATTTGGATAACATTATGGCACAAACCCTGAATCCCCAGCTAGTATGCACAAATGTAGGAATGTACAAGTGCAGAGATTTCATACTCACCCTAAGAGCTTCAATGACCAGATCTCTGGCCTCAAGTTCTCCCTCCATGATGCTCAGAAGGGTCAGGAGCTCTGGTTTGCTCAGGTTGTCGATGTTCAGCTCGCATTTCTGAAACACACAGAGCAAGAACACGAGCCTTGTTAAAGGGAAAATGACACTGCATATCTCAGATGGTCTACTAGGTCCTTGGCAGAGAAGGTGTTGAGTGGGCACCGATCTCACTGCCCACAGTATTCAGTTTTCACTGAAACATTAACCAACTACTTTTGAAACCAGAAGTTCTGTCTCGTCTGAGCTCCATGGGTAGTGATTTCAACAACAAAAATAAATACATCAAATCAATTTTTTTAAAACATATTTTGCCACTGAAACTGTGAAACTATTTAGGTGTTTCAATGCAAACAATACTTTTGTTGTTCTTCACTCTTGCTCATGTTTTTCATGCTAATGTCTGATATACTGGTGATTTTAACTTGATAAAAAATGGGCAAATAAATAACAGTTTATGATACATTGGTTCATCTCGATTAGTAAATCTTTATGGAAAGATAAATTATAAATCTTCATCTTTAAAACAAAAAACGCATTTAATAGGGCCTACGTTTCACCTTAATTATTAAAAAATAGTCCAAAGATCTATTAATAAAACAACTCATGAATTATACAGCCTTAATGAACCATCACTTAAATTATAATACCCTACAGATTTGTTATAATGTTTGGTTTTAGTTCTATGTTTTTCCATAAGATAAAGACTAACTAAACAGCAGCGATGCACTTAGTTGAAGGCAATAATTTAGACCACAGTGTAATTCAATTAGGAATATGCAATGAAATAGCCAGAAGATGAGATATTATCACAAAGCAAAGAAAATTGTTTCTGTGAGGTTGATATATAAGCTTTAAAAAAAAAAAAAAGAAGTATAACTTGTTCTTGATTCATGGAGGACTATGTAATTAAAAAAATAAGACATAATTAGATGGAATACAGATTCACCTGCGATGGAAGTTACATTGGCCCAATCAAAATGTCTTAGATTTTTCACATTGTTAGGGCCTGTAGCTAAGGCCAGTAGCTCTAGTGACCTTTCCACAAATTATGTGTTTCATTAGGTGGTCTACCTTGTCAAAGCCCAATTTCTAATGTTCAGTTCCATATACTATATGTAAGAACTGAGTAAATCTCTTTGGGAAGGACTAACTGGCACACGTGACTGATGTCTGTGTAATGAGAAATGAGAGAGTAGTAAATGGTTAATCAAACTGTGTCCAGTTTTTCAGGTGTGATCCTAGCTGCAACACTGATTGTAGCATATACATCAAATCTATCCTCAGAAACTGTTAAACAACTCCTGTATCTTAAACTACAGATGTCAGAGTACAATATAACTACGATTTGTTCTTGAAGAAATTATTCTCGCATAATGAGACTTGCAACCCCAGTCAATGGTTGAAATCCACAGATAAAGCAATACTGAGTGTGCTGAGGTTGAAGAAAAAATGTCAATACTGGTCAGTGGGAGATGCTGTTGGCCAGGTCTTGCACAATGCTTTCTTGAATACAGTGTAATGTTGAGGCAATTCTTTTTTCAAGACAGATTGTGTACGGATGGGGTCAGACCACTTGAGTATACCTGATAAACAAAACTCCCCACCATATAAACTATTCATGGACCTTGCAAACTTCTGTAAGGGTATGTAGCCCTTGAGAAAGGTGTCTGGGTAGATGCACAAGACAGAGATTTATGACTTCACGCCAGTGGCCAATGGGCAGCGCTGAAGTCTGCGCACCTGTTCAACCCAACTCTAAATGTAAAGCAGCCTCGAGCAGTTAATGCAGCTCAGATCGGTTGGGTGACACAGTACTCTGAACTATGCCAGCTGAGTCACTAAAATTCATATATATATTAATTATTAAAGATTCTAAATATGCATTGTGCAATTAAACATTAACCATGCTATAAAAAAGCAGTTCATAATAATACCTCGATTTCAATTATCATAGTATTTCGAAACCTGACAACATATATCACCTATAATAAACGCGACTGGTACATATTCAATATTTGTAAGGTAACCACCATAGGCTTACCATGGTCATATTAAATCGTGCGCAGCTGCACATTAAAAGATAGCTTACGATAAAAAAACAAAAAAAGAAATCTCTTACTTCATACAGCATTGTGCTCTGCCCGAAATAAAGGATACAATAGGAAATCTTAATGTCACATTATAACAAAAGTATTCCCCAAAAAAATCTTTCCATCTCCTCCTTACACAGACGGACGCACAACCTGCTCCCCCTCAAAATCTCGTCCTCAGCGTACATCCACAGCCCTACTTTACTTATCTACAGCTGGAAGATGAATTATTGGCTCTCTGCGATTTTATTTGCAGCAGTGTGATAGTTAAATCAGTGCCGAATGCGTTATTTGATGTGGTGTGTGGTGCCTAAGCTTGAACAGTCCTCTACAGTGAGAAGATGGCGTCGGACGGAGCGAAAGGGGAGCAGCCACCTCCGCTACAAACACTGGTAACCACTGGCCATGGAAGCGTCGAGGCGGTATGAGACATTTTAGCATAAAATGACATCTTGTCAGCCGCAATGATCGTTACCGCGAATGTTAATTATGATTGGGAATGAATGGAATTAATAGAATAGGAATCGTCCAGTGCTGTGAATCATAACTATCAGTGAATGTGTTACGGTGATCCGTCTGTGTAAGGAGGAGATGGATCACCGTAACACATTCACTGATAGTTATGATTCACAGCACTGGACGATTCCTATTCTATTAATTCCATTCATTCCCAATCATAATTAACATTCGCGGTAACGATCATTGCGGCTGACAAGATGTCATTTTATGCTAAAATGTCTCATACCGCCTCGACGCTTCCATGGCCAGTGGTTACCAGTGTTTGTAGCGGAGGTGGCTGCTCCCCTTTCGCTCCGTCCGACGCCATCTTCTCACTGTAGAGGACTGTTCAAGCTTAGGCACCACACACCACATCAAATAACGCATTCGGCACTGATTTAACTATTACACTGCTGCAAAAGAATCGCAGAGAGCCGATAATTCATCTTCCAGCTGTAAATACGTTAAGCAGGACTGTGGATGTACGCTGAGGGCTAGATTTGACGGGGAGCAGGTTGTGCAGCTCAGTCCAGATGTAAACCCGAAAAGAGGTGTGTGAACCTACAGCCTTTGAGGGAGTGACATGAACGCGATCCTATTTTTGCACTGCTTGGGTTAACCTCTCTGTCGCCAGTGGATTTTGTATTTGAAGATGTGGTGAAGATGATGATGATGAATGGAACTTAATGTTATGAGATGCCTTTGATTCATAAACACGCATAAAGAAGTCGTTCAAAATGTGGGCTCAAAAAATGGCTGGTTTGGATTCCTCTAGTCTAGAACTATGTAACAAATTCCAAGAGAGAAATAATACACCGAACAGCTCTTTTCGTATAAAACGTTAAAAAGGGATGGAAAGGAAACTTATGGCTATTCCCCACATGAATAATACAAATGTTATAACATTTAGTGTTTGTGTGGAGCATGTGAACACTAATGTAAAGGAGACTGCACTTCATTACATAACTTAAGGCTGCCCACACAGGTGAGGAGAGAAAAGAACAGTAAACAACTCAGAATGACAAAGGGAATGATGGTGAAATGAATAATGCTTCACTGAGTTTGCCACACATATATTTGCTTAGAAATCAGCCACTTGAAACTCTTAGGTCAAAACATTTTTGGGTAAAATCATGACAGGGCAGAACGTTCAAATTGAGGCAAAATAAAGTTAGTGCTCTCCTATTAAATATGAATCTTAAAAAGGTAAATATACAGTTTTATTATTATTATGAAAAATACATTTTCTGCTCTTACACATTTCTTCTGTGTTGCTTTAAAAAAGGATAGGGGAGCAATGTTTACCTTGATTTAAGAATTTTCAATTCATAATCAGATAGATAGATAGATTACTATTGATAGATTCATTTGACATTACTGCTTTCTCCATAGCACCCACTTTACCTCTTTCTCTGTACCAAATTACAGTTGGAAAGGATTGCATATGAATTTGCATAACACTTTAAGCCACTTAAAGGTGACATATCATGAAAATCTGACTTTTCAGATTTTCTAACAAATCTGAAAATCTGCCCCGTATATCAGAAGTTTAAACTCATATGGTTTAAAACGCATGATTTCAGCCAGATAAACATGATAATCAGAACCAAAACAGTCCCTCACAGGTTGGCGGCCCCTCAGCTGATAGCTTTTTATTAAAAAAAAAAACACTGAATTTAAGTTATTGACTAAATGCTAGCCTATAAATGCATTACACACATGTGCATACATTGAATAATTTGGTCAAATGTATTTATGGTTCAAAGTTCAGTTCAGAACAGAAACAGCATGGGTCGATTAACGTTAAAATGCAACATTTTATTTTTATGCAGTCTTGAGAGTCACATGACTCACCCATGTGTGGGAATCAACCAATCACAGCGTTTGTTTGGGTTTTCGTGATATTCGTTACTCAGTTGCACACAGCCCTACCTTGAACCTTCCAGTGTTCCTCAAAAGACAATAACAGTCTTAAGAAAACTCTTGTTAAAAGAGCTAATTCTTACTATCAGCTGTCAGCGTATGAATTGACGGTGGAGTTTTATTTGCCTTCGCCATAAAAATGAGCCTGGTACCGCACAGCGGAACGTTTCGCGCATCACAGCAGAGCTGCTCTGTGACTGGGCTGGATGAAACGTATGTATACATTTTCATGTCGCTGTTAAAGACATAGTTCACCCAAAAAGAAGATTATTTTATCATTTACTCACCTCCATGTTGTTTAAAATGTGTTTGACTTTATTTTTTTCAGTGGAGCACAAAAGGAGATGTTAAATAAAATGTTAGGGGCTGACAGACTCTCAGTGACAAGTGCATCATCTTGCCATGCAACGAAAGTGTGATGTTTCTCAAAACCTATTCAATTACAGCATCTATCTGCCCAGAGCTGCTGTCTAGGTAAACAATTTACTGTTTTGAGACACAACCAAGGTCTGAACTTTTACAGATTCAACATGAGCAGCAGTGCCAGTTCAGGAGAATCCCTGCAGGAAGCAGATTCAACAATAATCTCACAGAAAGCAGATGTGAAGAATTACAGCATGATGACTCCTGCAGAGAAACTATCGCTTTGTGAGAGACGGGCTCAGTCTTTGGCTGATAGCGAAGAGGTACACATGGAATAATCTTATACACAGAAATACATAGCTAACTCAGACTCTAATTTTATTCTTATGTAACCTTATTATGGCACCAACATTCAGTATGATCCGTTATGAATTACATAAAGCACCCCAGGCATGTTCTTATTCTCCAGTACATCAAGAACCACAGGTCTGGTTAAAAAATACAATAGACACTTACTGATCATTATAGTCATTGTATGTTTTGTTTCATTTCTCTAGTTTAATGTTTTATGCTTGTTCGACTTTTGCAGTATGACCCCTGTATCCAAGAGCTTGTGCGTTGCCTGGCACTGAGCAGACTGGTTTATGGAAATGAGCATTTTGCAGTGGCTCAAGCTCAGTCAAGACTGGCTAAAGCTTACTTGCAATACAAAGGTAAAATTGTTCATTATTTAATGCATTTAAGGAGATGTAATGTACAGTGAGGCATTTATTAGGAAGTCATATATAATGTAAACATATGTAAATGTAACATGTTTACTACCTCCTAACAATCTATGGACCTGTTTCTCAGGTTGGGCAAATCAGGCACAAGAACATGCATCCCAAGCACATGAAGTACTGCATTCCATTCAGCAGGAGGAGAGAGTGAGCTGCCTCAACTGCTTCCTCACCATACATCAGACACTTGGAAGTGCCGCTCTACTGCTTGGAAAATATCCTTGTTTACATAAACATCTAATGCAATCATATTCATACAGAAGTGCATCTTAAGTGATCAAATCCTTTATAGGGACGTTGTATATATTGTTATTAAACTCCTCTATTGAAGTAGAAAAAAAATGATAATTCATCAAACCTTGTTGCTTTAGATGATGTAATAATGACAGAAATATGTTAATTCACTTAACCATTTGAACTTTAGCAGAGGCCGAGTCAAGCTTTCAGAAGGCAGAGATTGTCATGGGAGACATTGTAGCACAGGAAGCCATGGGGAAGGAGGACAGAGTGGACATTGAGTATGAAATATTTACAAATTTAGCAAGGTACAGGGACATTTTAATCTTAATTGTTGTAATGGATTGCTGTAATGACATAGCTGGACTAACAAGAGATATTATCTAACATTCGATGGCTACTACAGTGGGTAAAAAAAGTACGGAACACATCACCATGTTTCTCAGAAAATATATTTCTAAAGGTGCTGTTTTTTTTACATTTTTTTGGAGGAGAGAGTGAGCTGCCTCAACTGCTTCCTCACCATACATCAGACACTTGGAAGTGCCGCTCTACTGCTTGGAAAATATCCTTGTTTACATAAACATCTAATGCAATCATATTCATACAGAAGTGCATCTTAAGTGATCAAATCCTTTATAGGGACGTTGTATATATTGTTATTAAACTCCTCTATTGAAGTAGAAAAAAAATGATAATTCATCAAACCTTGTTGCTTTAGATGATGTAATAATGACAGAAATATGTTAATTCACTTAACCATTTGAACTTTAGCAGAGGCCGAGTCAAGCTTTCAGAAGGCAGAGATTGTCATGGGAGACATTGTAGCACAGGAAGCCATGGGGAAGGAGGACAGAGTGGACATTGAGTATGAAATATTTACAAATTTAGCAAGGTACAGGGACATTTTAATCTTAATTGTTGTAATGGATTGCTGTAATGACATAGCTGGACTAACAAGAGATATTATCTAACATTCGATGGCTACTACAGTGGGTAAAAAAAGTACGGAACACATCACCATTTTTCTCAGAAAATATATTTCTAAAGGTGCTGTTTTTTTTACATTTTTTTGAACATTTTCACCAGATGTCGGTAACAACCCAAGTAATCCATACATACAAAGAAAACAAAATAAATAAGTTCAGAAATTAAGTTATGCATAATAAAACGGAATGACACAGGGAAAAATTATTGAACACATGAAGAAAGAGAGGTGCAAAAAGGCATGGAAAGCCAAGACACCAGCAGAAATCTATCAGTAATTAGAAAGCAATCCTGCCCCTTGTCAGTGGAAATTAATATTAGCTGGTTCAGTCCCAACACCAGGATGATGAAGATAAAACAAGAATGGACATTTCAGCAAGACAATGATCCCAAACACAGCCAAGGAAACTCTCAATTGGTTTCAGAGAATGAAAATAAAGCTGCTAGAGTGGCCCAGCCAATCACCTGACTTGAATCCAATAGAAAATAAGAACTAAAGATCAGAGTTCATAGAAGAGGCCCACAGAACCTTCAAGATTTGAAGACTGTGTGGAAGAATGGGCCAAAATTACACCTGAGCAATGCATGCGACTATCCATACAGGAGGCGTCTTGAAGCTGTCATTACCAACAAAGGCTTTTGTATGAAGTATTAAATACATTTCAGTAGTGCAATACTTTTTCCCTGTGTCATTCCATTTTATTACTGTCAAGATTTGCTGTTGGAGGAACGATGGAGAAATGTTCAAGAGTCTGTAATACTTGGATCACAAGGGATAATTCACAACAGGAACACAGGAAACACACGACATCCAACAAGTAGACCAGACAAACACAAACTGAACAGACTAGGACATTTAAACACAGGGCAATCGGGAACACAGGTGCATGAAATGAGTCAATTAATTGGGACACGGAACACATGGGGAGGGAAAACACAACAAAACCAGTCCAGGGGTGTGACAGCAGCAGGCAGACAGAGTCCAGGGCGGTGATGAAGGAGGAAGGAGCCAGGGAGGAAACAGGAGGGAGCTGGAACAGGAGGAGCCAGGCGGGACCCAGGCCACAGCCATAATGTCGACCCACGGTGGAGCAGACGGATGGAGGAGCCATGGAGGAGGAATGGCCACCGACTCCAGGGGGCCGACCAATGGCGGCGGAGCAGGTGGTGGAGGAGAGCGGGTGGGAGGAAGGAGCCCAACGCAGCCGGTGGGACGGAGCAACGAGGTGCAGCCAGGGGAGCAGAGTCCAGAGGCGATGGCGGGTCAATGCCCGACCAAGGTTGGAGCCGGAGGGACGAGGGAGCCCGGTGGAGCTGGTGGATCAAGGAACCGGAGCCCTCTCCGGGCAGGACGTGGGAACCGCAGCCCACTCTGGGCTGGACATGGGAACAGGGGTGACAAAGGGCTCTGAGGAAGGAGGTAGTAGAAAGGGCAGGTCAGCCTCCCAGTCAATCAGGTCTTTTTCCGCCTCTCCTCTACCCAGGTCCATCATAAGCTCACCCTCAGCCACGGTGCAGGGGGCGGAGCTCCTCTCCACGCTCACACCATCCGTGGCTTTCTCCCTCGCGATGGGCGTTGCAGCCGGCTCACGCACCTGGTCTGACAGGTTGGGCTCTACTTCCGGGGCGATCCACCGCTCAGTCGCTCGGCATTGCGCTGGCTCGTTGATCGCGGCGGGAATTGGCTCTCCATCATCGGTGGGCTCGGGCCGATGCTCCGCACCACGGGGAGATGGTGGGCTGGGCACTGGGTCGGGAGTGGAACTAGTGAGATTCTCCTGGGAACAGGAGGGGAAGGGAGATCCGTTTCTCGCCAGTGTCCACTCCACAAAGGCGGTGAAATTCGCTCGAGGACCATCTTCGGATGACAGCACTCTGCACGAGATGTTCAAACTGGCATCGTAGAACACACAGAGCGCGTCGTCCGGGTAGCTGGTTAGAGCAGCGATGACCAGGAAAAGTCTGGTATGGCCCTCGAGCGATCTCTCCCCCTGCTCCAGCAGGAGGAGGAGGTATTCCGGACGGGAGAGGGGATCCATGGAAACACACAACAGAAACAAAAAATACTGTGCGGAAAAAACGGAAATAAAAACGGAGGGAACACACTGATTAAACTGTTTTGGGTCTGGTCTTCTGTCACGATTCGCTTTGGGAGGAACGATGGAGATGCGGAGAAACGTTCAACAGTCTTTAATACTTGGATCACAAGGGATTAATCCACAACAGGAACACGGGAAACACACGACATCCAACAAGTAGACCAGACAAACACAAACTGAACAGACTAGGACTTTTAAACACAGGGCAATCGGGAACACAGGTGCATGAAATGATTCAATTAACTGGGACACGGAACACATGGGGAGGGAAAACACAACAAAACCAGTCCAGGGGCGTGACAATAACACATAACTTAATTTATTTTTTTTTTTTAAGTTTGTTTGAATTTGAATTTGTTTTGTTTTAATTGGATTTATGGATTACTTGGGTTGTTATCAACATCTGGTGAAAATTTCATGTTTCAACATTTTTCAAAATATTTCAACAGCATCTTTAGAAATACATTTACTGAGAAAAATGGTGTTCAATACTCAGTATTCAACCCCCTTCATTTTTTGATGTTTTGTTATGTTGCAGCCTTATGTTAAACTGCTTTAAATTACTTTTTCCCCCCACATCAATCTACACTCCATACACAATAATGACAAAGCAAATAACATCTGCTGGTTTTTAACATCTTTGCAAATTTATTAAAGATAAAAAACTTAAATAATCCCATTGCACAAATATTCATACCCTTATCTGGGACAGTTGAAATTGAGCTCAGGAGCATTCATTTTGTTTGTAAATGTTACCACACTTTGAGTGAAGCTAACCTGTGGCAAATTCAATTGAATGGGTATGATTGGAAAGGCGCACACGTCTTAATAAAAGGTCTAACAGCTGAAAATGCATATTAGAGCAAAGACCAAGCCCTGAGGTCAAAAAAATAATAATAAACTGCCTGTAGAGCTCAGAGACAGGATTAAGCCACACATCTGGGGAAGAGTTTAGAAAAGAATCTGCTGCATTGAAGGGTCACAGAAGAATGCAGCCTCCATTATCTATAATGGAAGACGTTTGGAACAACCAGGGACTCTTCCTAGAGCTGGCCTCCTGGCCAAACTGAGCAACTGATGGAGAAGGGCTTTGGTTAGAGTGGTGACCAAGAAGCTGATGGTCACTCTAGTTGAGCTCCATGATCATATGTGCAGATAGGAGAAACCTACAGATGGACAAACATCGCTGCAACACTCCACCAATCTGTGCTTTATGTCGGTGTGGCCAAACTCAATCCTCTCCTCAGTGAAGACACATGAAAACACACTTGGAATTTGCAAAAAAGCACCTAAAGAACCCTCAGATTGTGAGAAACAAGATTCTCTGGTTTGATGAACCTCAATTCCAAGCATAATGTTTGAAGGAAACCAGGCACTGCTCATCACCTGCAGAGTACCATCCCAAAAGTAAAGTGTGCTGGTAGCAGCCTCATGCTGTGGGGCTGTTTTTCAGTGGCAGGGACTGAGGAACTCATCAGAGTAGAAGAAAAGCTCAATGCATCAAAATATAGAGATAGTCTTAATGAAAACCTAGTCCAGAGCATTCAGAACCTCAGATTGAGCAGAAGGTTCACCTTCCAACAGGACAATGACCCTAAGCTCACAGCAAGAGTGGCTTTTAGACAACTCTGTGAATGTCCTTGAGTGGCCCAGCCAGAGCCTGGGCTTGATCCCAATCAAATATTTCTGGAGAAACCTGAAAATGTGCGTCTGCCCCCATCCAACTTGACAGAGCTTGAGAGGTGGAGAGGTGAAGAGGCGAGGAGAAGAATGGCAGATAATTGTCAAATGCTGATGTGCAAAGCTTTGTTGCATCATACCCAAAAAATACTTGAGGCTGTAAAGGTGCTTCAGCGAAGTACTGAGTTAAGGGTTTGAATACTTATGCATTGTACTTATTTCAGTTTTTTTATTTTTTTCATAAATTTGCAAAGTTGTGACAGTTCTGGTTTTGCTTTGCCATTATCGTGCATGGAATGTAGATTGATGTGGAAAAAAGTAATATAAAGCAGTTTAACATAAGGCTACAACATAACATGAAAAAAAATGAAGGGGTTTGAATACTTTCGCAAGGCACTGTATTTTACCCGCTGTATATGAATTACTGCCCCTCTTTTTTCTTCATTTTAAATACAACCCTGAATAAATGTTTAAGTCTGGGACTGGGAGGAAAGAGATTCATTTTGTAATTACTAATTACCCTGAGAAACATCTCAATCTAT